ACGTGGCGCCTAAGCAGAAGGCCAAGATCAACCGCCCACTCAAGGAACTCAAGGGCTTCGCCAAGGTGGCGCTGAAAGCGGGCGAGAGCAAGAAGGTGACGGTCAGCATCGAGACCAAGTACGCTGCCAGCTACTTCGACGAGGAACGCCATCAGTGGTGCGCAGAGAAGGGCGAATACGATGTTGTCGTCAGCGACAGCAGTGTTGTCGCCGACAAGGCCCTCAAGGGATCCTTCAGCGTTGGTGAGACGTTCTGGTGGTCGGGATTGTAGACTAATGGTTGATGTCCATGTGGATGGCAGGAAAAAAGGAGTAAAATATCTTTTCATAGCTGTCTTGGGTATGCAACGAATGAATGATGAATGCGCACATAAAATATAAATGTTCTCATTTGCTTCGTGGGCCACATCAGTAGAATCTTGAATACACGAACTTCCGCCCAAACATCTCAAATAGTCACGTCTATCATAACATGCATTCATAGGTCGTAGGAGTGCAGAAGACAGACTTCCAGAGCCGTACTGCCAAAGGTCCGTTACCCGAACGAAAGCTGCTGTTAAGGCGAGCTCACGCGCTTTTCTCTCATATCGCCATCAGAGCTTGGTGTGCTGTTATCTTCGATCCTTCGAAGTTCGTTCGGCGGTATCCACGGCTCCGCGTCGCCCAGTCGCTGTGCTGTCAAGCCAGCGCTGCCGGCATTCTTCATCCCCGCCTCGAGCTGGCGTTGGTACGATATGCGACGAAGGCGTTCCGCTTCTGCCGGGGTCAAGTGAAGCTTCAGAGTCTCGTCAGCATAGGTCTTAAAAATGCAGCTGCGCACACCTGGGGCGGTACATACGTAGAGTTCAACAAGAATGGCATGGATGGCTAGAGCCAGCCACGAGCCCGCACCGAATACGGCTGCAAATCCCGCCGCAATCTCGGCAGGCTGGTGGGCGTCCACGTTGGCGTGAACAAGAACGTTCAAGCCAGGATACTCGCCAGAGTAAAAGCCTCCACAGTCAGGGTAGAAGCCGAGGACCTTGGTCTGGTTGTGGCGGAAGATGAAGTCCAAGACCGCGCACTGCTTCACCTCGTAGTAGGTTGGGTCGGTATTGGCCACGACTCTAGCAGCCAAGAAACTGATGATGCGCATGGTGATGATGAAACCAGCCTGGGGCACCATGATCGTTAGTTTTGAGCCTTTGGAGACCTGGGATGTGTCCTTACATATACCCAAGCCCTGAGCATCCAGGCACGATGCTGTTCGATCTGGAGTTTCTTGACGTTGTAAATAGCAAGCCCCAACGCTCCAAGGAACATGACGCTGCCTCCGCCCACGGCCGTCTGCATACTGACACCACCACCAAAGGTACGCCGCGCTATCATGAAGACGCCAATGATGCCGACGATACTGAGGAGAAGGACGAGGTATCCGTTGAGGCGGTGGAACAGGATAGCCTTGTGGCGGATGACGGGAACGAACTGGAGGCAGGCCAAGAAACCACCGGGCAACACACCAGCTAGATGCATGATGATGCCAATCCTCCCCGTGCCGGATTGGTAGTAGTAGCACTCTCCCGGGAGGGCCCCTGATCTGTAATCTGGATTACAGAATATACCTTTGAAGTCGAAAAACATTAGGCGGGCGAGGATGAAGCCCACCATGGCACCGGCCGTGATAAAGAAGAGAGCAAAGTTATAACCCTTTTTGAAGCCGAGTGGGTTATAGATCTTACGCACAAAGGTAACAAAACCGTTGGCGGGAGGCCTTGGGGGAGGAGACATAGTGGCAGGCGGGCAGACTCAGCTAAACAAAAACCCATCGGCGTGCAACAATGGGCAAGCTGGAGTGAGACAAGCAGCCGCTCCTTGATACGTGCTTCTCGCTGAAGAATGGAGAGGAAGAAGAGTCGTACAATCACGGACAAGATTGCAAGATACAGCCAGTGGAAGAGACGAACGGCCTCTCATATACGTTGACAGAGACATCGTCAGACAATAGAAGCACCCGAGACCTCGGACATCGATCCTAAAGTGGTGTTCAGCCTTGGTAGAGGATGAGGAGGGGGATGAGCGATGAACATCGCTTGACAGGGTAAGGGCTGGGCTGGGCCAGGCTGGCTCCCATCCGGATCCCCCGCCAAAGATGCGTCGCTGCAGCTGGGCATACAGGATTAGCCGTTTGACAGCGCACCGGAGTCGTGTCTCACCAGATGCATGGCACCATGACATACAAGATAGAGGAGCTTGGCATCCTTGCTCCAACGATACAGGGCCAAGCTCGGCCGAGAGGGTGGGAATGGCACATCTGGACTCGAGCCGGGGGACAGCAGGTGTTTTCCGACCAGGCGGCTACCACGTCGTAGGCTTTCTCTCTCTCTGCAGTTTCCAAGCAGGTATCCGTCAGGAGAGGACGCTTAGGCAGGAGAAAGAGCAAGTGGTGACACTGGGAGGCGTTGCGGGACGGATCATGCATGCTCACCGGTCCTGTCACCGGCCGGCGTGGCGGCAAAGAAAGGAAAGAGGGCATAGCTAGCCAGTAAGAGGGCGAAGAGATGGGTGCCGGCCTCGCGAGGCTTCCTGCAAGTGGTTCACGAGAAAGAGGCTTCCCAGGTCGGTCCACTTAAGGCGAGGGAATTACCTGACGTGCAGATGGCGTGGGCGCCGAGGGCCACGAGATGCGGCCGTACGGGAGGGATCGAATACAAGCGGGCTGCATTAGTGTCGATTTGGGAGGCGGGGCGAGCAAGGAAGAGCGAAAGATGAGATGGTTGAGAAAGGCCATGAGGCAGGAGCCAGCCGATGGCGGTGTGCTTGTGTGTTTCTGCAGGTATGTGATGTGCGGTGTGCCTCCACCTTGCTCATGACATTGCACCGGTTATCGTCCAACGTCTGCCTCGAATTTGTCCGCTCCTCTGATGAGGCTCATTCTGATGTACTACGTCGCCTTTCGCAACCGTCTTATCCCATCAAGGCACCCACGCTCCGGTAAAGAGGTTGGAATTGTGCGGGGCGGGCGACGAGCCAAGACCGAGGTATTGCAGCACATCTGCCGCATACGTTGATGCCGGGCTAGTACCTTGGGCTAAGCCGCCTACGACGAGTCCGAATCATAGGGTCCTTTTGAGCAGACGGATGGGAAGTAGAGAGCAGGAAAGGAGGAAGAGGAGAAGGAGGCTAGGCGTGAGACACGAGAGCCCTGGTGGCTTCTTTAGCTTGGATTAACTGTGTTTATCATACACAGCCGCCGGCAACGTTGGAAGCCTGGACAAGTAGGAGGAGTTCTAGATGCTGCCGGTGATCTTTTTTTTTTTTTTTTTTTTTTTTTTTTTGACGTGGTGGTTGGAGGATGCTGACTGCAATGCAAGGGACCCGCGAGCTTCGCCATGGGAGCGAGCACATGGCTCGAGTAACAAATTGGGAAACGCGTGGTATCGATCGGTGGAGCAATCATTGGGTTAAGCTCCTATGTATCCGTATCCGTATGCAGGACACCGTTGATGGAACGTTGGAGGTGAATGTGGTGGACGCGAGCTTTGACCCCCTTTCGTCGTTGGCGTGGGCAGTTGCGAGTCGAAAAATCCCATCAAGACCTAGAAAAAAGAAATATCAATATGCCCATGGCCGAGGCTGGCCCCCATCGTCGTCACATGATTCGTCCGGCACGTATCCCGCGTAAAGAGGGCACCACAACAACACGCTCCACCTTCCCAAACCACCTCGGTGCACCTTTACCTCACTACTAGGTAAGGTACCTTCCGGTCGACACGGACCCCACACCAGTACCTTTTCTACCTTACGTCTACCTAAGGCAGGTCCTCCCGTCCCGCTACAATCGCCGTGCCGTGTCCGGCCGCGTTCCCGCCCCCTCCTCACCGTGTTCCTCTACCTACTCGATCACTCTTGCGCCTCGCCATGTCGTCAACCCAAGCAGCTCCGCCAACCGTGATAGCGCAGAAGCAATCCTTCCTCGCTACCCAAATCCGCCTACTTTCGCAGCCTATCCAACCGTCCCGCACATGGCTTGCCGCCAACGACTCCTCCGAATCACCACTAAGTGATGCCTTGATCGAGCACGTGGTTACTCGTCTGAACCACAACATCGCCCAGCACTCTCGGCGCGCCTACCCTCACCAGGCCAGCCGACACGTCGCCGAGCAGATTGACTCTCTTTACCTATCACATCCCACAACTGTACAAGAAGATGAGCCATCTGACGGTCTCTCGCTCTCTCTTGACCTGAGTAGCCCCCCCCCCCCCCCCAAATTGTTTATGCACCGCTCCATATACCTGCAGGTACGTAGGCTGACCGAACCGGAACAAAGCCGATGACGCTGCCGTCAAGTCACTGCCCGCAACATGGCCATCTGATGGCGATGTGACTACGTATCCCATGGAAGCCAGGCGCTATCACGACCAGTTTGAACGTCTTAAATCGCTTGCACAGCAGAGGCAGCAAGTGAGAGATCGTGTCGAGCGACTTGGGCGTATGAAAGCTGTATTGAATCCTTTCCACTCGGACGGGTCCGGCGTCGGGGTTCAGGAGAATCTTGTCACACGCGACGGCGAGGTCGAGAAAGAAATGGAACGCATGCGGGTTCTGCTAGCTCGTGTCGGCGGCCGTGTTAGCCTCCTACCCGACTCAACCGAGTCTGGGTCTCTTCTCAGGGAGGACGACTCTCTCGTCGTGGAGCCTGTGGCTACGGGCGAGAAACGGAAGCTTGATGACCTTTTGGGCAGTTTTTGAGAAGACGCTGTCAAGCCAGCCCAATGTACGCACAAAGGTGAAGGACTGTGTAATTCTTTCATGATTCGTGTTTCATTATTGGGCACGAAGAGTGTTACTAGGTTCTAGGTTTCAAAAAGGATACCCCGACGCAGTACAAGATACAAGATGTTACTTCGCTTTCCCACCGCAAGCACACTGCAATGCATGGCTGCGCAAGCCCTCTACTTGGAGTAAAAAAACCAGGCCTTCATGTTCTGCTCGGACCGGGCCGAAGTGGCAAGGATGCATCTCAAAGATCATCGCCGCTGGGTGCAATGCTCTTTTTCCTCTGCTGTATTTCACCCTCCAGCGTAGCATCCTTGGCACTGTCGTCAACGTCTAGCCCCTTTGGTTTCTTCTTGCTGGAGTCGGCATCCTTGGCTATCACCTCCTCTTCTGCAAATGGATTAGGTGGCACAACGCGTAACTTGACAATGACCTCGTTTTCATCGTCTTCAAGTACCTTGTGATACACTCGGAGTCCTACCACGGCAACGGCGTTCCACGGGTCTCTCTCAAATTCATCCTGGTCATCTAGGAGATTCGAAGGGTTCGATGGCGGCGGCAGGCGTCCAGGGCTGTTCTCCCGCGACTTGAAGTCTTCGATCCTGATGTCGAGCTCTCGCTCGGATAAGTCGGAAAGGGAGGAGATGCTCGACAAGTCGTCATCGGATTCACAAAGCATCACACCGAACGCGTCGGAATTTTCCGACGGGGCTGATGGATCGCTTTGGGTGTCTTCGCTTCTCTGGGGCGTGGCTTGCCGGCTTTCATTCGTTGTATTGGCGGCTTCTCGGCGGATGTCCACGATTGGAGTTTCCCTAGCTTTCGCGGGATGCAGCCCAGCCAGACCGCGGTTGTCCGAAGATCCCCCCAAGATCCCACTTGGAGTCGCCTCAAATGGTCGCGTAACATCTCCGACAGGTCCAGAGTCCGACAACGTCTTCGGTGAGGCTGCATGCTTATTGCTAGCACCGCTGCTTGCAGTTTGTTTGTCTCGTTCAGAGATGTTTAAGTCTTTGGTCTGAACTTCCAGTTCCTGAATCTGGACGTGCTTTTTGGGAGACGATTTGAATTTCTCGGGGGTCTGCGCTGATTTCTCGGGTCCAGGGCGATCGTTTGTGTCGTATCGGGTCTTTGCTTGTGTGGCCTTTCTCTTTTCTGCCCTGGCTTTATGTCTCGCGTGCCGCTTCGCCATCTGTTTCTTGTCCCGCTTTGCGGCCTTGACGCGCAGGTAATGCTCCTGCTCGCGCTCTTCTTGGATTTTGCTCCTGATCTCGGCGCGCTTCTTCTCCCGCTGCTTGTTCTCGTGGGCTTCTCGTGCTACCTTTAGCTCAGCTGACTCGACAACTCTCCCCTTGCTATGGGCAAGGTCGTAAGCCAGCCCAATGCGAGTCAACTTCTCGCGGCGACTTTTGGCATTGTTTCTGATGACCTGCTCAATCGACAAAATACTGTCATTCCGTACTGCGTCAATTCTGACGTAAACTTCGTAACTACCGGCTTCGAGGTCTAGCTCCACGTTGACGGATCGATTCATGCGGTAAGATGCTGGGCTCCGTACGACATAGTCCTCCTGGCCGGCTATGTGCAGACGGAATTGCAGGTCAAACCTATACTGGCCTTCCAGGCCTTTGAAGTATCGTTCGTCGAGATTTGCCAGAACCAGAACCACAGAAGTAGGCTTGGAAAGCTCAAAGGCGAAATGAGTATCGTGGTAGTCAAGGGTCCACGGTACTGAGAACGTCGTCCAAATGGACGTTACCTTCCACTCGGGTCCAAACAAACGTGTCACGTCGAAAATGTTGTACTTCTTGAGCAGGTCTTGGTACGAAATCCAGAAAGCTCCATCATCCCCAAACTTGTGATTGAGCTTCTGGAGCCACTCAGGCGTCCACTGTGAAGAGCCATCGCCTGATGATGTTAGCACATATAAGAGCACATGCTCATGGAAATAGGCCGCACTTACTCCAAGCACCCTTCCATTCCCCCTTTCCCCAAGGGTTCTTGAGTAGAACAAGTCGTTGGTTGTCCATCTCGACAGCTTTCATGACGCTATAAGCATGCATTTCAATGATGCCCTTGCGTTCGCCCCATCCTTTGGAAGCGAATCCAGTAGAGCATCCAAGCAACCAGGATTCGTTGACTCTGAGGAGTTTCTCTTTCCAGAAGTACTCCTTGTCTAGGATATCGGTGGTATAGATCTCTGAAGTTACACCGCCGGTAAGGTCCTCAATAGCCTCGCCGGTGAAACCCCCTTCGATGCAGGCATAATCTCCGTGTGCTTTAGCATATGCTTTCTCGAGAAGTGGCAGCCAAGTTTCGTTTGGGTTCTCGCACTGAGCAAAGTAAAGAGCCCCGCTGTTTGACTGGTAGATCCGTCGATAGGCCTCTTCTGAGTTGACACGTTCTCGATCCTCCCAGAGAATACGTTCAAGATAGCCTTCGTCGTAGTCGGGTTTTGTGAGATACAACTAATGCGAGCGGTGTCAGCCAAGGTCGATAACAGCGGGGCAAGGAGTCTCTCGGTACGCATTGCTCGCTGACACCGGAATCGTTCACACTCTTTCGTCGACTTACGTACCTTATCGTCAATGATTTCGCTGAACCACTCACCGTCCCTATGGAACACAAAGCCATAGACGCCGACGTCTTGGTCATGGGCAACACAAACTTTCTCGATCAGGCCAGATTTATTGCTAAGATTGCACAGCGCAGCCATTAGCCAGCAGTCTCCATCTCTACCTTGGCGCACGTCGTTAGCGGTAGGGCCATCGATGTAGAATTGAGGGCTGTCGAAGATGTCAACAACGCGCTTCACAGCCTTCGGTGCGAACGATGACGGGGAGGGCTCCTTGTTCTTGGTATTCCAGAGGGACTCCAGGCAATCCCGTCTGCCAAACTTAAGATCGAACTCGAGGTCGAAATGAGGATCCCGGTACTTCTGATTTACTCTCCGACACTCTTGGACGATCTTGTCAACCTTGGTTTTGCACACTGCCGCAGCCTCGTCATATGATGTCTGGGTGCATACTCCGGTAGCTGCAGCCGATCGTCGGGCGACTTTCTCGGCGTATTCGTTCTGAGGGATGACAGTGGTCGCTTTTCAAAGTTAGAACCAGCAGCAACACACCCTGGGTCATACAAGGACGAGAGAACATGGGGTTAAACACCACGAACCTTTACCAGGGGTCTTGGTGGTGAATTTCGTCCAAAACTCATCAATAATGTCTTGGGGAGGCTGTTGCTTCGCTTTTCGGGGTTTGCTGACGGTGACGGGCATCCTGGCTAAGTATGTTCGGCGTCGCGGGTGATCGAGGGCGGGCGGGCCGACGCAAGATGCGATTACTGAGTCTGAGCTGGAATCGGAGCTGTAATCCATGTTGATTGATGTTGCCCAGAAGTCGCGTTGATGGGGAAGGGGCCAATGGTCTTTACCGCCGATGCACTTGCCAACACATGCGGACGTTGGACACTTGCATGTGCGCCTGGACAAGGCAGGTGTGCAGTGGCAGGTATCTAGAAGTGGCAGGCATGAAATAGAAGCAAGCGAAAGAAGTCTGCCGAGCAGTAGGCAGGAACCCAAGTGAAGAAAAAAGAAAGAAGGAGCAATTTCATACGATGATGGTCACAGTGAACGGCAGAACACATCAAGGCTCCGGCTTGGGCTTCTGCTGTGGCATTCGCTGTGGCTGCGGCTGCGGTCCTGGGTATGTCGCGTTGGGGGCGGCGCCATTTATACCAGCTCATTCGGCGGCTGAAGTCCCATGATGATCAACGGCGGCTTTGTATTACCGCTAAGGCACGCCTGCTGACGCGACCGCTACACTGACATGCATAGCAGCCGCATGAAGACTCGGACGAGTGTGACTACCAAGTTGACTAGGCTGGCGCTTGTAGTTGGGCGGGTACGACACCCTTGGGACCGCAACGAATCCGCCTACATTTCTGACTTGGCCAGGCAGGTGAACAGGTAAATAGGCAAGCAGGCAGCAAGCGGACAAATGAATTGAAAAGGATCCCCATCCTGTTTGCTGTATTGATCTGGTATATTGACGCGTGTGTACGCACGCAGAGAGTGCTTTTGTTCACCTCATGTGTCCTGCATGCGAGAGCACTCACTTCCTACCTACATGACGTTACACACATCAGCCCCCAAAATCTTTAATTGTCTCGTTCAACTATCCCGCTTCAGGTGTTTGGCCGGCCGCCTGCAAAGTCATTTAAGTGTTCATGATCATCTCACTCACAAAATTGGCTGGTATCCCGCCATAAGAGGGAGTAAAGTGAAATCTTCCTGCTAGGGCAATGCTTGCAAGTTACAGTATGCCCGCGGGTATGGCCGGTGCTCTTAGCAAGAGACCCACTTAGGCCGTGCCGTTGCGGCTCCGTCCCGCTCCCGGGTGAGAGCTGGCCAAAGCTTCCAGTGTCCCGTTGATCGCCTTACGGACACTGAGCGACGCCGGAGTAGGTGGGCGAGACAAGACGGCCTACACTATTGTATGGTCTTCATCAGCCCTGGTCTATTTGGGCTGATTCAGACGCACGCGAGAAGAACGCGAACCATTCGTTTAAGCAAAAGCTTGGGTCCTTCTAGTGGAATCACATCACCTCATGCAGTACGCCTAGCCCATTCGAGGCCTAGCGACTCGATGCCCTTCTGCCGCATAACTCCCTGCAATCTCCTCGTGATTTCTCGCCCATGCAGGCGACTGATGATTCGGCACACCGTACGCAATCGTGTGCCATCGCCATGCCGACGCAGTGGCTGATTTAGCGCATCGCCGTACCACAATCCGATCTAACAAGCCCAACGTATTGTGGCGCGTCCTACCAGCCATGCCATCGACCGGTGCAAATCATCTCGGGGCGCCCATCACAACATCATCTTTCCTCCTCCAAGGACACTCAAACGACTCAATCAACTGCTTCTTTTTTTTGTGCGTCACGCCACAACAGCTTTGCCATGGTGTCCACCATGTCTCCCTTCGAAAGGGTCTTCTACTCAACAACCACTTCCACCGCCCCAAAACTCTTTTTCTTCATAAAAGACTCGGATCTCTCACCCCCCCCTCAGCCATATCTTTCATTCCAATGAAATCTCCTAGCCTGGCCTGCTCGGTAAGCGAAGGTCTACAGACAGTTTTGAACTGCCCGTGCAGACCGCAGCGTCCCATCGCCTGTCAGTGTTCAATTCCCTAGCCGCCAGCCGCCTTGACACCATATTGTCCTGTGGAACAATTTTGCCGCCGCCGTAGTTCAGATCCAATCTGGGGCTGCGCGCCGACTATGAACCATTCTGGATCACGCAATGGTGCGCGTAAACAGGGAGCTAAGTCGAACCAGAAGGAACCGTAGATAGCCATGAGGTCACGAACTTTCCTTTTCCAAATGCAGGAATGAAGATGCATATAAATACGTTGAGACCGTCCGTCGTGAGAGTCGTTGCAAGAACCAAGGGTAGTATGAAGAGAGGAAACCTTTCCCGTTTTGTTCCAGAAAATGAATCGTGTTGACGAAGGGGAATCCCAGTAGACGCCGTGTAAAGCAAAGGATGTCGATTGGCGACAAGCCGTTTTTATGCAGGAAGTAAAAGTAATAACCAGAATGAAATGGGCAAGGTGCAGGTGTTATGGTAGGTAGGTACGAGAGGCGTAAAGGGTCGTGCTGAAAACATAAGGAAACCAACAACGATGCGCTGGCGTGTGTAGAACTAGCGGAGCGGCTGCTTTTCACGCAGCCAACTTCTTCCCAGTCCGGAACCGTCTCATGGAGAGGACGACGCGGCCACGGATCATTGCTTAAGCAACGGGGGCGATGGGTGCAACAGCGGGCGCGGCGATGCCAGCGGCGGCATTCATGTCAACGTCGTTGGGAATCTCGCCATTCGCGTTCTTCTGGGGGCAATCGCGCGAGATGTGGCCAGCCTCGCCGCACTGGTAGCAAGTCTTGCCAGCAGTGTTCAAAGGACCGCCGTTGGGCGCGGTGCAGTCACGAGAGATGTGGCCGAGCTTGCCACAAGCGTAGCACTTCATGGCCTGAGCCTGGCAATCCCTCGCGAAGTGGTTAGGGCCTCCGCACTTGTAGCAGGTGGCGGGGCGGGGACCACCAGCGAAACCGCCACGTCCGTAGCCGCCGAAAGCACCACGAGGAACGGGGGCGCCACGTCCGATGCCGACGCCGGCAGGGTTGGGGCAGGCACGCTTTTTTAATTTTTATGTCAGCTTCTCATCGACGGCGATTACGCAAGATTGCTTACAGCGAGGTGACCGGGCTGGCCGCAGTTATAGCAGCGGCCACTGGTGCCAGCGCCGCTCAATCGCAGGGTAGGGCAGTCGGCCTGGACGTGACCGAGGCCCTGGCAATGGTAGCACTGCTTGGCCTCGGTGGTGCGCGGCAGCGGGCAGCCGTTGGACTCATGGCCGGGTTGCTTGCCTGACATTGAGAGTCAGAAATTCTTCCAATATTGACCGATCTTTGGGGATAGAACTCACAGTTGTAGCAAAGACGCTCAGCTGACGAGCAAACCTCGGCGTAGTGGCCAACATTGCCGCACTTGTAGCACGCGCGACGGGAGAGGGAAGACATCTTGCAGTCTGATGTAAAGCTATCAGAGAAGGAAGGTTAGTCGATTTACTCTTGGCTAGATTTGTGCTCGTTGTAGCGGTTTATTGAGGAAATCCAGCTTGTCGGATGGTGTTGCAGCGGAAGTATTCGTCTCCGAGGTCCCTGATGTGCAATCCTCTTCGGACGGAATATCCGGCAATAGGGTACACAGTTGCGCTGGGAGCTCAGATCTTGGGCAGTGATGACACGCGTTTCTGATGCCTCGGTCCGTCCATTTTCTTTCTAGATTTGCTTAAGTAGACCCATGCCAATCACCCGGGACTTGATTTGTGGTCGAAGCGCGCAAAGAGAGGGATCTTTGCCAATGCGAAGGATGCCGTTGGGAATGAACCTGCGAACGCAAGGGCGCAAATGACGCAGGCTTCGGTCTCATCGTGGTCTGGCGCTGTTTGTTGCCGGCTTGCGATTGAGGGATTATCGCAAGTGATCCACCGAGGGCTTTTCGGGAGGAGGCGCATCGGGGCGAGATCGAGTGTGGGGGACTGAGGTGGCGCGCAGGAGTAACGCAACAGTCGCAGCGCAACGATATGAATAGCCAATTGAGTCCGGTGGACTATCGGATCAATGTAGCATCAGGTAGGCTCCAGAGACCGCGATCTGTGAAGTTGGGATCGCAGCTTGACGTGCGAACCCGACAGAACGGGTGTCTTGGCAAGAAGACGAGGATTGCGGTCGTTAAAAGTAGTGGTGGGCCAGAGAGCAAAGCAACAGGCGGGGTTGGCGCATTTCCGCGGGTCGCATAGCGAGATGCGCAATGCGTGCGGGACCAAGGAAGAAGCGATCGCATCTTCAGTGTGGCAGTCTCCCAAGTTTCTTCGTGGGGGGGCAGAGAGATGGGATGCGGCAGGACTATCGTGATCGTTCCCGTTGCGTTGGGTGGGCGCATTCTGGTGAGGCTGATGGCGAATGCTGCTGTGGCAGGCTGGCCCTCGTCGACCGTGTCGCATTGGGTTGGCAGAAAGAGACGTTTGCGACGGCACGCTGGGCTGGCTGGGCAGGGAAGGCAAGATGAGGGGTAGATTGAGGGAAAAGGCACAGAGAGAGAGACAGAGAGAGACAAGGACAGAGAGGTGCTGGGGGCAATGCTGATGCGATGGATGCAGGTACAATCGAGGGCGAAACTCACCTTTTCGCGAAAAATTGCCTTTGGGAAAATTCGGGAACAGTTCGTTTCCACGAAGGTTGCTGTTGTTTAATGGGCAAAAAAAATAATAATGTGTGAGGAAAGAGGGGTCTGGTCCTTTCTAGTAGCGAAGAAAAAAGGACGGGACACGGCTGGGCTGGCTGGACCTGACCTGTGACTGCGGCTGTGACCCAACGGGGGACTAGACCAGACTGGACTGCTTAGGTAGGTAAGTAGGTAAGTAGCGAAGGCAGGTAGTATGGATGCAGGTAGGTTGTCCGCTGGTTTGATGGCGGATGACGGAATGTTGCTTCCGGGGTAGGAGGCCGAGGGACTAGGGACTCCCAGGACCGCTGGGCAGGACTGACTGACTGACTGACTGACTGGGGACTTGGACGGGGCTACCTCAGTGAGGGGGGGGGACCTAAAGTGGCTACGGATGCCTCGAGATAAAACTAAGGGTAAAAGGTATTTGTCTCAAGTCCTGCTGAAGGGGTGAGATGTTGCAGAGAATAAGCAAGCGCACTCGGTCA